TGAAAAGTGCATTTTTGAAGCTTGAAACATGAACATTAAACAAGAAGAACTGAAAAAGCCATAATACAATTGTAAATAATAGTGATTTGTTCAATTGAAAAATAAAAATAAAATAAACATATCAACAGCAAATTAACTAATTCCACTGTTTGCAACCCCCTTTTTTTCCAGAAAAACACTCACATTAATTTATCAGCAACTTCAGGGGGTCTGCAATTTGAAACTAAAACATTAGTCTTTGTTTTCTGTATTATTGATTTGCTTCAACAGTGCCTTTTTTAATGCAGTGTTCTGACGTCACAGTTCCTGTAGCATACTGTTTATGTACTTTATTACAGCCTGTAGAATAATTGGAACAGTCTGTGAGATAATTGCCCCTTGCACACCAAAAGTGAAGCTGTCTCCATGGAGATGTAATTGCTTTGCAAAAACTGTTGGATTGGTCTTTGTTGCGAGAAAGGATCCAAGGCACTCTTCACTGATATAATAATAGTTCTTTAGTCAGTTGGTAGTGGGGAGCTGGATGACCAATGTCCAGCTCCTGCACATAAACAAACACGCAAAGCCTAAATAAACAGGAATACACGGTAATAGTGATTTGCAATAAGCACTTTTTGAAGAAAAGTTTCAGATGTTACTTTATCACATCACCCAAAATGTTCAAAAGACTAACTCATCGAATAAATATAGTATGTATAATCTTGTTATTCGACATGGATACACAACAATCCATTATTTAGATATCCCATATCAACCTATTAGATTCATCAATCCGATAGACCAGCCGTAAGATGGCGGCTGTCCGTATGTAATACCCATGGAGGTAATACCTCAGTAAAATGACACTTAACAGAGCACACTCAACACACCAATCATATTTTTTGGCTTAGAATTTTGACTAAAACACTTTAAAATGTATAGTCAGTAACTGAAATTCACTGACAAAAATATTGAAGATGTTTTTTTCATGATTAAAAATTAAAAAAGATCCATTTAAATTTCAAAATCTTATGGAACAAATGATCTGTCTTTTTTCTCATCGCATTTCACAGTGCATTGAATTTGAGGGTTCGAAAATAAACATAATAAATATTTTAAGGGTGAATATGTCATTTGAAAGGGTTAGGGTTTAATCACATGCTAAAGTGAACACTGAAATGATTAGTGACTGAAATGTAATGACAAAAATGATCTCATGGTTAAAAATGTAAAATGTAAAGATACAACCACAATATTCAATTCAACAATTCCTCAATAATAAATACTAATCAAAAGCCAATCTAAAAAGTTGTGTCTTGAGCCTGGTCTTAAAAACATGAACGTTCTCTGCGGCTCTGAGCTCCTATACGGCAAACTGTTCCATAGACTGGGGGCAATTTCTGTTGGTTGTTGACATATTTCTCAAATGCAAGGTTCACTTCCCTCCAACACAAGCCAAGTATCCTACCTCAGACACGGACAGCAGCTAATGGAACAGACTTCAATAGATCGAGCTGCAGCTGTGAACAACTGCGTGGATGGATGGGCCATTGCAACTACGGCTATTATGAATTTCTTTGAGAGAGTCAGAATCCCGTGGATGAATATGTGACGGGGTAAGATGTGTGACTGAGGCAAGTGAAGTCCCTTTCTTCTCTCCAATGTACGTAGATGTAAAATTCATGCCATAGTTTGGAACCAGGCAATACACCTTTTACACAGACTGAGCAAAAAACGGACGTTGCACCAGGAGAATTGTCTGCATCGTTGACATCTGCAAGCATTTTGAGGAACTGAATATCATGTTAAAAGGAAGTGAAAGTGAACAGAACTAAAAAATAAAATAAGATGTCTAAATTATTGCTGTTCCGTCTAATAACCTTCCTATTCTGTTCGCATTACTCTTGTTCGATGACCCTTAATGCTGCAAAATGAAACCCATATATTTTCCCCCAAATGCATAAAAGACAAAAAGGAAGGTTAGTCATGGGTTCTCAAGGAAAGCAGGATTTTGAATAATATTTATGGATTTACAAAATGCTATTTTTTCTCTCTATTTTAGGTTGAGGTTAAATGAAGTTCAGTCTCTTATCATTTCAAAAAAATAAGCACAGAAACCCCATCAGGGAAATAATCATTTACTTTTAGGGGGATGACATTTTGCCCTGGAATGCCTAGAGAAACATTCTTTTCATGTTAGCTAATGTACTCCAATAAAAACATGTGTATTTGGTGCTGAACACATTGCACTCTTCAAGAATCGTTTCAGATCAATTCCTGTGAGTGGGTGCATATGGCAGCCCATGTTCCATTGTTGTTGTTCGCACTCCTTTTGCGTATTTGTAGCACAGATTACAAGTGTTTTCTTCCAAACAGTTGGTTCAGCCTTGTGTGAAGCCAAGCGGAGCCTGAATTGTGTTCAATCTGCTGCAGTGTGGGAGCCATGGATGTGTTGTACTTGAGCCTAAAAGCTGCTACGCTGCTCCATGACCTCAGTGGGATTATTCTCAGCATACCCAAATAAGGGCAGCCTATGTTTGGCAGAGTGACGCTGGAAGAGGCACAGAGCACAAAAACAGGACTGGGTCACGCAGCAGAAAATCTCAAGTTTCCCCGAACTGTGGAAAGTTGCTCAGTCACTCGTGATGTCTGCCTTTTATCTCTCTGGTTGGGTTAATGTTCAGCGGGGGATGGGTTAAAGGAGAAACGAGCAATTAGGGGGAAGTGGTTGGAGGAAGTGGAGAGGTAGTGGGAGTCGTGGGCTTTTGGCTTTTATGGAACCGTTCTGTAAACAGGAGAAATGAGATGGAACGCTGCGCACCAAGGGACAGACAGCAACATTTTTTGATTTTTTGATTTTTACTATGGGTAGAATAAAGCAGCAATGTGTCCAGTCCCAGCTCACAGTCGGTGTTAGTCGGCATCACCATTACAAATGTGATGATTGACAGGATCCTAAAATGTCAAACTCAAATAAAATCAAATATAATAATGCGTCAGTTTTATATAGCGCTTTTTTGGACACTCAAAGACGCTTCACAAGTCATATTAATTCACTCCATACACGGTGCTGATAAACTAATAATATAGCCAGAGCTGCCCTGAGGCACACTGAAAGAAGCGAGGCACCCAGTGCCATCGGCCTCTCTGACCATTCAGGCAAAATAGGAGAAAAACTACTTCAAAGCACTGACACTGATTTTGATGAGTTAAACATAATTCATAAAATGTTTGGTGGCTTTTTGACACAAGTGAATATATTGATTAATATCATTGAGTATGAAACTAAATGGTTGGAAATTATTGAGTAGTATTGAAGTAAAGTATACCAGAACTCATTGAATTGTATGTCAAGCATGGCATATTATTAACAGTTTTCATTCAAAGATGTTTGAATTCTGTATATTCTACTTTAAAATGAGGTATAACATGTATGTATTGGACTTATTATATTGGATGGTAGACTGAATGAGTGGGTGGCTGAGAGTAGGCAGTAACTCCCAAGGATTAAAAAATAAAACCTTGTGGCAACTATATTTTTAGCTGCAGTGATTTGTGCTTTGAGAACCCTCTGTTTCCCCCCGTTAAGCCCAAGACCAGAAACGTAATTCACAAGACAAACCGGAGCAGGAGCAGGGACCCAGCTTGACAGAATAACTTATTCAAAACTTGTTCCTAATTCTAAAATGATGCGCACACAGAACACTTACAATGAGTGACATTTATTAACACATAATTAATGTATTGCTCCATGAGACTGAACAGTGCAAGTACCGTTCGTGTCTTGTTTATATTTTCTGTTGTACATTGCATATTTTAAGGACTTAAATGGACAGGGAGATTGTTCACATGATGCGTTCAGATGTCAAACTGTGAGACTTATAGGCAAAGAAACAGAAACTTGTAGGAGGGATCTGCATCTTTGTGTGATCTCACCCAGAGACTGACCACAAACTGGCAGCTCTACTTTTATTTGACTCTTCTGCTTTGGCGGTGTATGAAAGCAATGCTGGTAGCGATGAGCCCACACTGTTGTCTGAAGTCAGCTCCTGCTCTCCTGCACCCACTGTACATGCCTCGAGGCACCAAACCATGCAGCAACTATTGATATCAGTACATATTCAATGGTCCAGTGAGACCTAATGTGGACTGAAGTGAGTGTAAATAGGAAAATAATATTAAATTACATTACTAAATCTGTAAAGACATATACAGGATTACTACTGTGTTTTAGTATGCCATATGCAAGCATGGCGTTAGACCATCATCATCATTAGAGAGATAGACACACTCGTAAAGGACAATATTGGAAGCAAATAACAACTTCATAAGCTTATTTGTATCAATAATGCAGCATAACAACATTCGTGGACATTTATTAACATTTATGGACATAGGTCATCAGCCCCTTATGGACTAATACCAATGTGTTCTCTGTTCTATTTCTTGTGTTTTATTCTCTGATCTGTGTTGGCGAAGTCCTCAGAGATAACTACTGTTGTGATCTAGGGGTACACAAGAATAAATTGAATTGAATTGAACAAAGGCATTCTGGGTACTTATTGTAGATTGTGACCAACAAAAGAATAATGCATAGCTCTCATCTCTTAGGCTAGTTTGATTTGATAAAAATAATTATGTAACCACGGTTCATAATTCCTTTTGATAATCAGTCAAAATTCCCTACGGAGGAGAAAAGTGTCCCTTGACAGAGCATCGTATTACATTAAAACATAGTTACCATGGCTCATACTATGCCAAATGCCACAGTCATAGCTGTAATACATAAATGCTATGTAAGTGAAAGACTTTTAGGGACAATAATAAAACCACTTGAACCAAACATACAAAGAATATTTTTGTAAGTCATTAGTCATAAGTAATAGTTCATTTTTAATACAAAACAATTTGAATCTTGTATCAATGGAACAGAGAAGAAGCAGAGAAGCATGAATAAGTGTCAGAACATTAAATCTCCCCCGCTGATTCTATGCTAATTGCGAGTGTCGGTGGTCTCTTACCTTTGCAACACCAATTTGCTCCTTTCTAAATTTTTCCAAGGGAGTAATCAAAACATCATCTGCATTCTGGATCTGGTGGAAGAGAAACAGACAAACAGGTGTCAAAACAAGTTGGAATAATTACAAAGTACTTCAAATATATGATATGTATAAAAGGTGAACATATCACAAGCTACTTTTATCAAAACTACCAACAACAACAGGTGAAGTTTCATGATAATTAGACATTAATGTATGATGATTGATGCATTAGTTTAGTTTATCATTAATTAATCCATGAATCCATATAAATACTTAATGGTAATGATTCATGACCATCATAAAAACTAACATTGTCATCCTTATTTTGTCTGATATAGAAAACAAAACAGATAAACGCTTTATGCATCACTTGCTTCAAGGCACGTTTAGTAAATTGTATTAAATGTAATGTAATATATATATATTATTATTTTTTAAAGGATGAGAGCAAGCATTTTAGGGTCCGTAAAAAAAATTAAATAAGAGTTTACAATGTAGACTATATGTGATCAAGGGGTCAGTTCAAGCAGAGCTGAACACATGTCATGGCTATAGAGATTTGCATTCAAATCTAAGTCTAAACACATCCAATGTCAAATATAATTGTGATATGCAGGGAAACTATGAATTATACGCCACCAACAGTGGAAACAGGACTTTAATATACACTGTGACTGTCTGAATTAAACTTTGTAGAAACCAATAAAAACAATTTCAAAGACATTTCATCTCTTAATATTGTGGCCTTCCCATTGTGTAATGAATTAGTTCTTGTATTTTAATTAAGTTAGTTTAACCAAATCTTCTATTGTCAGGGATTTTAACTGATTTTAACACATTAACAATGAAAATCAATTATCGGTGAGAAATAGTTTGGGTTCTAATGCAATAATAGTTCTTAGATAATCAAATGCCCACCACTTGTATGTAGTATGTAAAAGTATGTAATTTTACACTGTGTATTAAAATGTCCATTGTAGTAGTAGTAGTAGTAAGTAGTAAGTAAGTAATCTTTATTTATATACCGCCTTTTCACTGCACATCGGAGTCTCAAAGCGGTTTACAATTGTGATTTTTGGGAGTGGGGGTGCCAGTACAGGAGGCTGTATGCCAGACCTATTGTACATATTTTTAGTGGTAGGGGAAACCGGAGCACCCGGAGGAAACCTACGCAGACACGGGGAGAACATGCAAACTCCACTCAGAAAGGCCCTGGTCCAACCGGGATTCGAACCCAGGACCTTCTTGCTGAGAGGCGAGAGTGCTATCCACTCAGCTACCGTGCCGCCCATTGTACACTATAATAAGTTATACACCATATCACCACTAGGTGACTGTAGATGAAACATTTGGAGCTGGTGCTGCAGTGTGCCGTTGAGAGTAAATGGTTGATAGCTTTGAACTTGATGCTGTTAAATGTGACTTTAGTGTTTAGTGCATGAGATAGGTCCTCGTTCTCACCCATCAGCTGGCTGTGAGGCTGCTTTATGGGAGCCAGTGTGACCAATGACGCGACCCTTAGTGTGATTTAACGTGTTATTCTTTGTAGTGAGAGTGTATGATAAAGCAGGTCGAGGTGCCATAACACATCTATGATAGGAGCACTAATTTAAGGTATACCGTCAAATGGACTCTCCACTTCCTTGTTACAGTCTTCTGAGCACTGGCTATAGAGTGCCATTAATCACAATGCATTTTCTTTACCCCAAAATAACCTTGTCAATTCCATCATCCAACTGGAGTGGGGGGACTTCAAAAGCCTGGAATATAATAGCTCACAACCTTGTAGTGCTTTCTTGTTTGTACAAAGTGTTGTGTGAAGATGTAACCTTGTGATGCAAATCCATGTAGCTGTTGGGGATATAATTGAATTAATCCATGGTCCTTCACCTCTCTCAACATGCATTTCACACTTGAAGTCATAATCTTATGCACATTACAGTGGTCGCATTCATCATTATATTCAAATTAAGTGTGCGGTCTGTCAACAATCGTGCACAAAAACAATCGGTTCAATTTCAGTAAGTGCCAGAATCCTTTCCAATTAGAAAACTCCTCTAACAATTTATTCTGTACTCCTGCCCCATTAGAAAGCAGGGATATGAACCAAGGTGTCATTCTGCCAGACTTTAGGCTGAATGCGTGATTTTTTTTTAAAATTCAAATCCCATTGCATAGATAATTTTTATTGAGATGCCCCACCCCAATAAAATCCAGGAGAGTTCTGATCAATAAATGATAACATCAATTGTAAATAATTTTTTCCCCTTTTTAAATATGTTTAATTTCTCATGAGGCTTTCAGGTGATTCTCAGATCAGAGGTTTTCAAGTTAAACCGTATTAACAATGGATATATGGATATGCATAGTCTAACCTCTTACAAAAACTTTTACTGCCATGACATTACATACTTCTCCTTGGTATGTAGTGATAATCTATGACACGTGTGGCTCATGATTTTGTATTTACAACAATTTGAAATCCTAATATTATTACAATCCACAGATTTTTGTGTTTATCACTCTGCGCTTTGCCCTATGGCAAAAATGTGGTCCCATAAAACCCTTTTTCTTTTTATTCGTTCCTCACAGATGCAAGAGGGTTTAGGGACAGTGAGGATCCTGGACATTTGAGAACATTTATGATCATTAATTAACATTTATGGACTTTGATCGTTCCGCTCCCTATGGACCAATGGCTTCCATTTGTTTGTTATTTTTGAACTGTTGTTTAATTCTATGATCTGTTGTTGGTGAAATGCCAATTCTTGAGATGACTGCTGTTGTGATGTAGGGCTATGCAAAAATAAATTGAATAAAAATGGAACAAATAGAAAAAATAGTTCAGGTGGTCCGAGAAGCACTGAGAAGAAAGGGGGGGAAACAATGCCATCTCGGCTTCAGAAGATTATAAACTACTACTGAATCACACTAAAGAAAATTATTATACTACTAAAACTAGTACTTTGCTCACAAAACAGTTTCACAAGTTTGCATATACATGTATTTTGGCCCCTGTATTCATGAAACAAAAACATAAAAGGCAACCCAACTTAAACTTAAAAGCTATGCAAAAAGTTGAGTTAGCGTGTATGTCCACTCAACCCTAATCAAAAGTGAAGTTTCCAAAGTCTTATGTTGCATAGACAAGTGCAGCTTATCTATAATAGCAGGATGAAATAATGACTGAGTTACAATGATGGAAAGTATTCATTAGCACAAAATAATTACACACTGTCGGACTTTAATGACACGTGGCTTGACATCGTGTCGGCTGATGCGCTCCGATGTAGTATCTTCACATGAGCTGAAATTTCAACTCAACCCCCATTGTTATTGATTTAATATACAATGTAATCTTTGATTCGGGACAATCTTAGCCAACACACAACCTAAACCTGTATTTCTGAAAGATTTAGGATATATTTTAGGCATAACATTGGTGAATAGTTGACAGGTGGATTGGAAGCAGCTAGTCTCTGTGGTTCAAGCTGGCAAAGCTCAAACTGTTCAAAGTATAGGTGCAGTGTGTGATAGAAAAATGTCCAAATGTCCAAATGTCTGCGCATTGAGAATTTCATTGAAGCGTAGGCCAATTTACAGATGGGTTACGCGGTTTAAAAAAATCCATGAAACTCTATAGGGAACATAAGGAGTACTAAGCCATGTATTTAAAATAATAATTAAGATCGTCAAGCTTGGCCACCATTGACAGTAGAAGGAGTGGACTGAATTCTGATGTCAGGCAATCTGAGTGGGAACGGGATAGCAACGGCCGAGTTTATTTATTTGTTTATTTGGTTGGGACAGTACATGTTAATGAACACATCACTACGGATTGTAGCCATGAGCTAATTTGCATCCGTTGTCCTACTGTACATTTGCACTCACAAACACACACTCATTCGTTCACCCTGAACTATTGCACATTTTTTTACTGGTAAGGGAAACCGGAGGACCTGGGGGAAACCTACGCAGACACGGGGAGAACATGCAAACTCCACTCAGAAAGGCCCTGTTTCGGCCAGGATTTGAACCCAGAACCTTCTTGCGGAGAAGCAAGAGTGCTATCCACTAAGCCACTGTGCCGTCGAGTTATCAAGAGCCAATCAGGAGAGGCAAAGTTTCAAAACTTGAAGAGAAATTTGAATCTCAAGTTAATTACAGTTTTAAAAAGAACATTTCTGAAATCTAATAAATATTACTTGGCCAAGAATGAATGAGTGAGGTTGAAGCCAAATTTGCGTTTGTTGAAGGTTTGAAATAAAAACGCATTTCATATTTGAAGCCATATATTGTGTTGGCTAAAAACTGTCACGTATATGTGTACCTTGGTCTGTTTTTTGCTTGGGTAAATTTTTATGTTGTTATTTTTGCCTGGAATGTTCCACAATATGATATTAAATACATCTAAATTGGAGATAATTGACTTCAATAGGCTAAGTTACAGGTCATATCTGCGGGTAAACAATCTGACTCAATGTAGGAATTCATGGTTGTGAAGAGTAAACACATAAGTAACTAAATTATGTTCTGATTATATGAGGTTTAACCAAGTAAATTACTTTTTTTGTGTTGACCAAGGTAGATATTTAAACAAGAAATAGGCCAACTTATTTGAGACTCAATGGATTACTTTCAAACTGGCATTGTGCCGAATGCCCGGAGCAACAACCCCTCTCAACAGGATTAAATCCATATGAGCGAGCACAGTGTGATGCTTGAAAGGATGCAATAGCACTAAGCAATTTCATTACCAGATAGAGAGAGAGGAATGTCAATGTGCCCACACTTCCTCACTGCTGCGATATTTCTACCTTCCCATATTACCTTCATATTGCTTTATGGTTAATTCAGAGACAACAAGAAATGTAGTTTTAGTTTATCACCAATATCTGAAATAATAATACAGAATAAAATACCAAATACATTTTCTATCCCCCTGCGGTGTCAGAGGATGTAAAGCCACAACAAATAAGTTTCCCAGAACTTCTTGTTGGCTTTGTCCTCAATAAAAAAGTTCACTACATGCAGATTTTAAATTAAATAAA